TTTTTTTTGTCTGTCATGGGGCTTTGAACTCTGGGCATGGATACTGTTCCTCAGCTCTTCAGCTCAAGACTAGTGCTCTACCACTTGAGCCACAGCTCCACTTGTGTTTTCCTGAGTGGTTTATTGGAGGTTAAGAGTTTCATGGACTTTCCTGCCTGGGCTGGCTTTGAACCGCGATCCTGAAATCTCAGCCTCCTCAATAGCTAGGATGACAGGCGTGAGCCACCAGCACCTGGCTTCTGGTATTCTTAAAACAAATAAACATGACATTTTTCATTCAACAAAGAAGACTTTACCAGCCCTACCAAAAATATTTTCTAATGAAATAAGTAAATTCAACTACTGGTTAGCCTAAATAAGCATACAGTGGGTAATATGTCATGTATCAAAAGGTCAACTCTCTCAGAGCATAACTTGAGAAGATATGGGAACATGTCTCTGTTCCTTCATAATAAATGTCACAAAGCTTAACCATTAAAACCATGTGCTTCTAATAGTGTTCTCTGGGATTTTTATGTAGCTAATTTTTAAAAAAGGAAAATTCTTACCAGGTTTAGTGTGTTTCTCTACACAGAGCAGAAGGAGGCTACAAGGAGGTGGAAGGACTGTTGGTAATACACTCTATCTAGCACAGGGAAAAAAAAGAAGTCACATCTCACAGTTGCTGCTGGGAGAAGGGCAGCTTTGTTGAAGCGGCCACATGATGACCCTTGAGTGACTGGAAAGCTGTGGAAGGTCAGATCATCGGTGGTCTTCACTTGAGAAAGCTTGGGAATGGCAGCATTTGTTAGTAATGTCTTTGTACACAATGACTAAAGTAAAACTTTGTGTGTGTGCTTTTTTAGCAGAACTAAGCGGCATACAAGGACATGTTGTTTTTGTGACTATCTTGCTGGATGGGGCTGAATAAGTAGTTACAGTTTACTTAGTATATGCCGGGCACTGTCTAAGCACTAACAAGTGCCTTGTGTATATTAAATGATTAAATCCTTAGAACAACCTTTTTTTGGGGGGAAGGGGGGGCGGGGCGGTCTGGTCGTGGGGCCTGAACTCTGGGTCGGGGTGCTGAAGAGCCGAGGAGCTCTTCAGCTCAAGGCTAGCGCTCTACCACTTGAGCCACAGCGCCACTTCCGGCTTTTTTTCTTTTTGCTTATGTGGTGCTGAGGAATCAAACCCAGGGCCTCAGGTATGCAAGGCAAGCGCTCTACCACTGAGCCACCTTCCCAGCGCTGAACCTTTTAAGTTGAGTATATTATCATAGTTACTTGTTTAAATTTATATAACTTACGTATAAGAAAAGCAGGATTTAATTACAGATTACATACTTTCAAGACTATAATTATAATTAATTGGCTGTTCTACCCCTCAGTAGCACTCAGGTCATTCTTTGTGTTTTCTCTCATTTTGTTTTGTTTTTAATATGACATTTGTCTTGTCATTATTCTTTTCTAAGTTTCTGTAAACTTAGCACATTATTTTAACACTTTCCTTCTTGCCATATGCTGTTTTGTTTACAGATTTTGTTTTTCCCTCAGAATCTTTGAGATTAACATTACAGAAGTCTCAACTTTCTTCCTTTAATTTTCTTTCCCAGATATTTGTAAAGTATTAATTATGGTTGGTGATTCTGTTCCTTATCCTGATCCATTGGGAAACCAGTTACATTAGCCAGCTTTCTGCTATTATAACCAAGACTGGAGAGAACTGGCTTGTTCAAGAGAGAAAAGCCTTATTTTTCCCTGTGAGCCAGCAGCAAGGAAGTTAAATGTAGTGGAGCTGCTCGCCTTTTGCTGGTAGGAAGCTTAAGGGAGCAATGAGACAGGGTGTCTCACAGTCCTCAAGGGATCCGTGCATCGAGAGCTCCACTGAGCCTTTCCTCATAAAGATTTACCACTCTCTGAGAGTACCAGGTTAAGACCCAAACCTTAGCTTGGGACTTTTGTGGGGACATTCAGATTCAAATGATAGCCTGTGCCTCTCTGCCTGACCTGGTGAAGAAGTAGTGTTCTAATCCCAGCTAGGCCTGAGTGTGGTGTTAGGCCCTCTCCTTATTTCTAAAATATGTGAAGGAATACCTATGCTGTAGGATTGTGTTGATATTGGAGCTAGTAAATATAAATCTAACAAATAGACATCTTACAGCTTTTGTTTAGAGCCATATGATAGGCATTGTGTTGATGATTCCTCCAACTCCTTATACCTGTGTGTTCTTCAAATGGTCTTTATTCATGATGGTCCTGAAACTACAAGTTCTTCTTTCTTCATACAAGGTATATTTCTTAGTGTCAGTAGTATCAGTTTGTCTAGACTGGAAAAAAGATGAACTACTATGTCATTTCCAGCTTTTCTTTCACAATTGGGCTTATTTCAGACAGCTCTTCCGTTAGCGGTCTAGAGTCTTCTGATGTGCTGGCTGTTTATAATAACAAGTTTACAGTCTCTTCTTTGGCACTGTTGGTTAGGTGCTTCATTATTCAGTTATACCTAATGTGTTGATTAGATATAAAATGCATTACTTGGTCTACAACGATCTAAAAGTTTTGATCAGTCTCCTTAACAAGGTAGATGGGCAGTACAGTTCAGAATGCTTTTAAATATAGTTTTAAGTTTTGACGGCTGTTTTGGATTTAGGATTTTGTTCACTGTGCTCACTTTTTATTCCTCAGTCTTGAATCCTTTGCTTCCAGCTGACACCATGTGTTTGAGGTTGCATTTTATGAATGTGAAATCTTCCACATGATTGCTAAATGATTTAGGTTTTATTTCTGCCTCGTGTGTTCTTAAAAATACCAGCTGCTGCTTAGTTGGAATGTAATTTAATTTGACTGACATATGAGTTTTATAGTTCCTAAACAGGAATATATTTTCCTTGTTTGTATTCATAAGCTTTTTAGTCCATATGTTAATGTGTTCCTTGATTTAATTTATCTTGAAAATCAATATAAACAACAACAAATCCATACTTGTTAAAATTTTAAACATGCTTCTATTTTTGAGAGTTCACACGTAAGCTTACAAATTTCCTTGCCATTTTAGTGGCTTCCGATTTTAGGAATTTTTCTATTTTAGGAATTTTATTATTTTGTTATCAGAGACAGTTTTTGATAGTGATATAATTTTGTATTATATCTCTGAGAACAACTGCATTTGGATGAGTGAAGTATTTCTCCTCAGTTGCTTGAAGCTCTCATTTTTGCCTGGAGTGTCTCGTTTGCCTATGGCCAGCCTCCAACTTTGATCCTTCCACCTTTGCCTCCCAGGCTGGGCTTACAGCTGTATGTTTCCTTATGTGTTACATCTTTACTCTGCTATCTGTAACTTCTGTGGAGAAAAAATAAGTTAAATTGTACAATTTGAGTAATTACGTGTATTAGTCAGATTTAAAGAAATTAAAACTTGAAAGTTATATTAGTAAATAACTTATACTGATCTAATATTTTATTTAAAAATTATGTCTATAGCAAAAGGTGGTTTTTTTTTTTTTTTGGTTGATTGTAGGGCTTTAGCTCTGGGCCTGGGCGCTGTCCCTCAGCTCTTCAGCTCAAAGCTACCACTTGAACCACAGTGCTACTTCCAATTTACTGGTGGTTTATTGGAGATAAGAGTCTCATGGACTTTCCTTCCCAGGCTGGCTTTGAACCGTGAGCCTCAGATCTCAGACTCCTGAGTAGCTAGGATTACAGGCATGAGTCACCAGCTCCCGGCAGAAGGTGCTTTTTAGATGTAGTAAGAAACATAGCTCAGTTACTTTGGTTAATTTTTGGAGAGCAGTTAGAATGTCATTAAAGCATCAGAAAAAGCAACAGTAATCCTAAAAGTATGTTTTAAATAAAATTTAAGTGAAGACTGTACTGCTGTTTTAATATAATAATAAGTTATCATATATGCTAAATAATAATGGTTAGAAACTATAATATTCTTTTTAAGAATCTTTTCCCTTCTTTTGGGAAGTAGTGATTTGTGGGGAAGAAGCTGTGGTGAGTGGAATTTTCTCAGTTTTAGTTGGGTAATAAAATTCACTTAATATAAAACATTCCTTGTTCTGCTTTTATTCCTTACATTAGAGTAGTAGGAACTGTGCTGATGAACTGCTTACCTTAATTCTTTAAAAATTCCTGACGCTCCAGTTTAATCACTTGTATTTATAATGTTCTAGTGTGACCTTGTTAATCCAACTTGTTCAAGTGACATTTGATGAGTTCTTATTGCTGGTGCTGTGGAGACTAACAGGATAAGTGAATCCATTTCTTGGGCTCATTTTTCCTCTTCAGTGTTTTCAGTAATAGGATAAAATTATTCTGATTAACCCGCACTGTTGTCCCTTTCAGAAATTTAGTCTTTGTTACGGGTGATTTTAGAGAAGTCGAGGGTAATACTGAAGAGCTTCTCTTTGCTAAGCCTACTTGCCTGACAGGTTGAATACATGGGCCTCATTTCTTTTACCTAGCTGTCAGATCTAGTCTCTTTGGACAGACATTTAGACATCTTTTTGGCTATCAGTAATTTAGTTCTGGGGGCTTTCCCTGAGTTTTTCTAAATTGATTAGTGAATTACAGCAGAGTTTTGAATGTCTGTAATGCTGATAACTAAAACAGAACTAGACTAGACTTGGAAATTATTTTAGGGAGTTACTTTACCTTTTTTTTTTTGTAAGTCATGAGGCCTAAACTCTGGGCCTGGGCACTGCCCCGCAGCTCTTCAGCTCAAGAGCTAGCTCTCTACCACTTGAGCCACAGCGCCACTTTCAGCTCTTTTTTTTTTTTTTTCTGCTTATGTGGTGCTGAGGAATCGAACCCAAGGCCTCATGCATGCAAGGCAAGTGCTCTACCACTGAGCCACCTTCTGTATTCTTAAAAGCCTAATTATTAAAGAAACACTTTGAGGAATGTACCAGTAGGTAATGATTATAAAATGGTATACTTCAATTTTCTTAAAATAGTTAATATTCAAGACTATCTGTAAATATGTTATTTTAATGTTACATGATTTCTGACTTGCAGGTTTTAAATGCACAGAGAGCAGGCTACAAAGCAGCCATAGTTCACAATGTTGAGTCTGAGGACCTCATTAGCATGGGATCCAACGACAGTAAGTACAGGTATCACTTTTCTTCTCTCCTGTTTGACAGAAACTAAGATGAAACTGGGCTTGCCTTCTTCCATTTCCCTTAAATTCAGCTCAATATGTTCTCTATTAGTAGTTCCCAGGTATCAGTCCTTTTGGGATAAGTATGGTTTTTTTTGTTTTTTGTTTTTGTTTTTGGTTGGTCGTGGGGCTTGAACTCTGGGCTTGGGCACTGTCCCTGCACTCTTCAGCTCAAGGCTAGCACTCTACCGCTTGAGCCACAGCACCACTTCCAGTATTCTGGTGGTTTATTGGAGATAAGAGTCTTACGGACTTTCCCACCTGGGCTGGCTTTGAACTGAGATCCTCAGATCTCAGCCTCCTGAGTAGCTAGGATAACAGGTGTGAGCCACTAGTGGCCTGGTTTCAGCATGTTTTTTGATAAGAGTTTTGTAGGGGCCAGGCACCAGGAGCTCATTCTTGTATTCCTAGCTACTTACGAAGTTGAGCTTGGGAGAATCACTGCTTGAGCACAGCCTGTGCTGAGAAGTTTTTGAGACCCCTTCTCAACTAATAGCAGAGTACATCTATCATCTGTCTATCATCTCAGCTATGACAGGAAGCCTCAGATGAGCAGGTCGTGGTTCAGGTGTGTGCCTGGGAGGAAAGGAGAAATAATCAGTGCAAAAAAGGCTGAAGACAAGGCTCAGCAGTGTCTGCCTTGGAAGTGTGAAGCTGAAGTCAAACTGCAGTAATGTCCCCTCCTCCAAAAAATACAAGCTAGGAATGTCCGTACAATGTCATTGTAATACCATAAAACTTTCTTGTCATAGTTGTCAGTTCCTAAGGAGAATGTGCTAAATATTAAAAGTAGCATATAACGCTATAATTTTGTTGTTGCCATGGAAATGCTTCAGCTGTTACATTACAAACATCATTCAGTTTTTAATCTGGACTTTATTGCCTGGATCATCTTCTGAGATATTTTACCCCATACTTGTGCATATGTGTGTGTTTAAGCATTTCATTTATTCCAGCACAAATGCTGTGGAAATCACAATCCCATTGCCATCATTGAAGAGCAAAAGAATATCAGAGGAGGCATGTGTCTGTTCCTCTTCTCAAGACAGTCCCTAGCAATAAGCAGCATTGGTGTGTCCATGAGTAGAGAGTGTCATGTCTAGAAGGAGATTCTCAGAGTATCTTGCTGCCAACACTTCAGGTACTAAGTGTGCTGGTTGTACTTCAGCCAGAAAGTGGTGACATACTGGAACCCCAGAATAAGCCAGTGTAGTGGTAAGAGCCAAGAAGTGTGGATTTATCCCAAGCTATTTAACACACAAACTAGTCTGTGCCCTTGGAAAAGTTATCTAACTTTTCTACACCTGTTATTTTTACCTATAAAAGAGAGAATCATTTGACGTTTTATTTGACTTGTCTGGGTTGGAAGGATTGCATGCAGGAGGGTCTATGAGAAATGCCTTGGCAGGCAGAGTGGAAGGGGTCTGGAAGGGAGCCGGATACTGTACCTGGATTCAGGTGGTACCCATTCCTCACGCTAGAACATGCCTCTGAGTTGTTTCTCCCCTTTTCCTGTAGTCACTACTCTTGTGCATCTGGCACTGCTCCAGGCAGTGATAAAGTGTGCTTGCTTGCATACTGGTCACTAAGCTAATGAAGTGCTTTCTGGATGCTGTCTACCAGGTTGGCGCTGGGTACATGACAGTCTTCTCATCTGTGAGAGGGTGCTGTGAGGTTTGAGTAGGTGAGAACTGTGAGGCATCTAGAACATTTAGCTTTCTAGGGTAAGGGAGAAAAAAGAAATAGTGATGATGCTTCCTCCCTCCTTGGGGTTTCCATGGACTATGGGTGGCTGGAGGGGGGGTAATGGCTGATGTGTGTAGGAATGAGTGCTTATATTAACATGAAACAGTATTGTGTATGCAAAATCCTTCATCTGCCAAGGTTACCAGCTCATAAGGATCAAAAAGAAAACCAGCTTAGTGGTTGCTATAGTCAGGACAGGATTTAATTTAAAAGACAGTGGGGGAATTTTGGAGGCTGGTGGGACACTCTGAGTCTCCGTGGTGGTAGATAATTGTACTCATTTGCCAACGCTTACAAGAACGTTTGATGACTCCCAATATAATGTGTCTTTGGAAGGAAGGAGTGTGGTGTGCTTTGTTTTTTGTTGCTCTCCTGCAAAAAATGCATACCGACTATGCATTATAAAACAAAGTTCTATATTATGCATAAGATACAATAAAACGATTTTGAAAACTGAAAAGAAAGTAAAGGGCTTTCCCTAAGGCCAAGTCTGTTAACTCACAGCACATACATAGTAAGGCTGTTTTTTCTAGTAGTAACATTAAAAAATGATAGTTTTCATTTCTATTCCTGAGTGATGGGTCATTTTACAGAATTCTTTTGGTGGCATTTGGTGTGACTGTGGGTATAAGTTTCACATCTCTTTCGATACCAGTCATGATGTGAGGCTTTAAGAGCTCCAGGGGTAGTGGAGGTTGATGGAGTTTCCTCTCAGCCTGCCTCCACAGAGGGCCTGAGATGATGGCCGTGCTTCTGTGTGAACTGTTGGAAGGTGCTCCCGGTCTCTGCTTGTTTGTCTCTTAGGGAAATGGGTTTGTCAAAGCTTTTTATCTTTGTTATTTAGCAATTAAGTTATCTGTAGGAAGAAAACCTAGGCTTTCTTCCTCATTTTCCTTCTGTAAATCAGGTGAAAACATTAAAGGTAAAAAGTCTGTCTCAAACATTGTCTCAACCTTATAGGCCTGTTGAGAGAATTTAGTGAGGTAATGTATCTATGTAAAATACTAGCTTTGTTATTGTAAATGGTATTTTGTTTCTAAACTAAACTACTTCAATGATGAGAATAAATCTGCAGTCTGGAAAAATCAACTGATAGACATGTTGACTGTAATTGGTTCCAGTTGTTTTTGCTGTTGTGAAAGTTGAGTTGATTGTACACTAAGAAAACAGGCTTTTACAAATAATTTCATTACTCTTTCCTACAGTTGATATATTAAAGAAAATTGACATTCCATCTGTCTTTATTGGTGAATCATCAGCAAATTCTCTGAAAGATGAGTTCACATATGAAAAAGGGTAAGTAATGAATAATAGAAATAATCATGTAACTTATAATTTTTTCAAGGATAAAATTATATAATGTTAATTGTAATCAAGATTATGTTTTAGATGAACTCTATTGTGCTAACTTTTCACTTTTTAAGTCTGAATTTAAGACTTGATACGTGGTGCTCTAGTATATAGTGTTACTTTTTTCTTTTTTGGGGGGGGGGGTGGTACTAGGACTTGAACTCTGGCTCTCTTGCTTGCTGTGCAGTCTCTACTGCTGAGCCATGCCTCCACGCCTGTTTCCCTTTCTAGGTTTCCCTCTCTGCCTGGTCCATGACCCACCTGTTTTATGCTTCAACCCTGTTAATGCTGCTATGAAAATCTAAGCCATTGTGTCAGGCTTCCCTCTGTGGAGATGGAGTCTCATAAACTTTTCTGCTTGGAACTATGATCCTCCGACTCTGAGCCTCCCACATAACACAGTATGGCAGGCTCCTGGTGCTGTGTGCTGGTATGGGTTAAGAAAGGCACGTGTGAACTTTTCTGCCCAGGCTGGCCTCAAACCACTGTCCTCCCATCTTCTTTCTCCAAGTAATTAGGATTACAGCATGAGCCGCTGGTTCTCAGATATCCCGTTTCTTTTGTGTACAACTATATAGCAAAAATTCAATGCTACGGAGGCTCATGTTGGAACCAATGTTGCTCAAAAGATACAGCTGTCCATTTTATACTCTCGTAAAATTTGCATAATAAATTAGCTGAAATTAGTAAAATGGATGAAATTAGTATTTTGAAGTTCTAAAAGTTTGGATGGAGAACTTGCTGCATACATCTTTACAGCCGTCGTATACAGCCTGCAGTTCACTTAAGGAGCAGCGTTTCATAGGGCTGTGCCGTGAGACCCCCAGAACCCAAGTGGGACTATCACAGAAACACTAACCGAAGGCACAACTAAAATTGATTGTGCATTTAGCAAGTGTTAGGTATTCACGAGCACAAGGTTTATATCCATATCTGTTTCTCACAGCAGCCTCTGGTTGCTGTTACCCTCATGTATCAGCAAGGCTTGCCAAGGGGAAACCAGTGCTCTGAAATCCAGTTCTAAGCGTGAGGTGGAGAGTGGGGAACCCATAAAGATCCGAGCTGAACATGGATTAAGAGGGGGAGTATTACCTGTCAACTGTTTTTGTCATTTCCCACCACAGTGTTCCTAATCGAATGTACTGTTCATATATATGCTAAGTATCTTTATTTTAGGAGAATCTAATTTTTGATGTATCAAAACACAGTTATATGATTGTTTGTCAGCTAGGTTTGTGTAATTGAGGAGGAATGAATACTTCTTACCTTGATATTGTTCCATCATTAGAAAAATCCTTCATAGTTTAATACATACTTTAGAATCTTTTTGATCTTAACTTTGAAATTGTATCTTACACATTAAAAGATAATATATGTGCTGGTAAAATACACGAAGCATTGAAAAAGAAGGTATTGGCACTGCCCTCCTCCAGAGCTGTTCTGAGCTCTAGCCCCATCTTTTTACCTACTGTGATTTCCCATGTTAGTTTATGCCTCCTCTTGAGAGATTGGATTCATGCAAACATGTCATAAAGCTTTTTAAGTTTCCTAATTGTGCGTACAATGTTATGTACTTAGACATGTAGATTGGCCCTGTCTGCTGTTCAGACATTGGAAAGACTGCTGGAATACGGCCTTCAGGGGAACATGTTGTCTCTGTGGACTCATTTTCATTTTGAGAATGGGGATTTAGAATATGGAAACTTCGAGGTTCCCTAGCTTCTCTCTCATGGTAAATGGCAAGGGACTCTTATTTTGTCATAGTCCAACCCTACCTCTGGGCACAGGACTCTTGAGCAGATAATCAGTAAATGCTAATCCTGTGCTGCTTCAGGAGTCCTAACCAAGAAGGAGCCCCCTGTGCTGGCAGGAAGAGGGTGTGAGGGCTGGGTCTGCCCGATGTCCTGGGAGACAGTCAGGAGCTTTGTCCGAAAGGGACAAGTTCAGCCACGTACTGCTAGCGTTGTGGGGGTATCCAGTACTTGAACTGCTCTCAAGGTGTTGCTGGCAAGTTGGTCTGGGGTGTGGCTGCAGGTCCACTGAAGGCTCAGAGATTTGGCTAGCAGGTGTTGGCTGTCAGGAAAAAAACAGACAAATCAGGGCTTCTTCCTGTATCAATGAGAGAAATAAACAGGTTATTGTTAAGCAACGTAGACCTTGACACTCACTTTGAAATTAGCTTGGGAATGCATGCAAAGGAGACTTAGACTTACTCTCCAGTTTGCTTCGGATGCTGCTTGAGTGGTCAAATGTTAGTTGCAGAGCCGATGGGAGTGGAGTGCACTGTATGCAGAGGTGGATGTGAAGGTAGGGTGGCAAGATACTTACTGAAGCTGCTTAAATACCTCTTTTTTCAAATCCAGATTAACCTGGGATGAGGACAAGGGTGAATCTGCAGGCTTAGCAGTAGGAGACCAGGACAGGGAGGAAGTGAGGCCAAAGGACTGATTACTGCCACCATTCTCTGCCTCATCACCTCTGCCATTGGTTTGGCTAAGAAAAAGATGGGTCAGTTGGGCATTGAGCTTTTTAAGATGCTTAAAGCCTTTTATTAATTTTATGTGGTTTAAAATCCTCATAATGAATCCTTGTTGCTACTCAAGCCACATGCCTGGGTCTTGCTCTTTTTGCTTTGGCTGCTGGACCTGCTGTTCCTGAGTATCTGCGAGTATAGAAGTGCACCACTGTACCAGGTTCCCACAGTATGTCATGATCATGAACTGAAATGCTTTGAAACACCACAGGTCAACATTATTTGGTTATGAAGAATTAGATTTTTTTTTTTTTTTTTGGATCCAGTCGTGGGCCTGAACTCTGGGCCTGGGCGCTGTCCCTCAGCTCTTCAGCTCAAGGCTAGTGCTCTACCACTTGAGCCATAGCACCACTTCCGGCTTTTTTTTTCCTGCTTATGTGGTGTTGAAGAATCGAACCCAGGGCCTCATGCATGCAAGGCAAGCGCTCTACCACTGAGCCACCTTCCCAGCCCCAAGAATATTAGATTTAAAATTCAAGCCAGTGAGTCTTTTTTTTTTTTTTTTGTCAGTTGTGGGGCTTGAACTCAGGGGCCTGGGTAACTCAGGGGCCTGGGTACTGTTCCTTGAGCTCTTTTTGCCACTTTGAGCTGCAGCATCACTTCCGGTTTTCTGGTGGCTTATTGGAGATAAGAGTCTCATGGACTTAACTGCCCAGGCTGGCTTTGAACCGTGATCCTCAGATCTCAGCCTCCTGAGTAGCTAGGATGACAGGCGTGAGCCACCAGCGCCTGGCTAGGACTTCTCAATTCTTATCCTAGCAGCCCTTATTTCTTGCCTCCTAGGACACAGGACAGCTGTGTCTTAGGAAGACATCTGCATAAAAAGAGAAGAAAATGCATGAGGATAAGCATTCCTACTATTAAGACATTACAGAGCTACACTTGGTGAATTCAGCTGTGCAGTAGTCTGGCTTCTGCGCCCCAGCAGTGTTCATTTATAGCATGTTGGAGAGAGTGAAGCAGGGGCTACAGATGATTACTGTCTCATAGAAAGGCCGCCTAGACCCGAATGGTACCATTGGTTCAGAGGCTCAGAGCAGTTGTGCCATGAACCAGGGACATTATCCACAAAGAGCTAAGCCCAGGCGGGCTGTTGCTTTCTCATTTTTTATGCTAGTGTATGTCTTACTTTAGTATTGGTGCACGTTTGTGAAACCCTTTACTCCATTCTGCTGAAAGTGACAGAAGCAAGCCAAGCTCCTGTATCCAGAATTCCAATAGGGTTGGGAGGGAATCACTAGCATTTCTTGTTTGCATTTGGTAAAGCTATGCCAAATTCTTTGGACGTAATAACTTGCATTTATGTTATTTAAGTATGTGGATTCTAAGCATCATTCTTTTGAGGAAAGGAATCAACCTGTTTGAATTTCCCTTTTACTGCAAATTACTATTTTACCTTGAACCCCCTGTCTTGTGAAGTACTTGGCTGTACTACCTCTAAAATAAAAAGCATCCAGCATGGGAAACGGTCACATTCATTGCTGGCACATGCTAGTTTAGTAGCACAGTTGGTGTTGAGTCATGTGACCCCCTCCTAGACAAATAAAGGTTACTGAAAGTTCTGAGGCCACGTCATATTCGCTCATGTAGCACCAGCAGTGTGCTTTCTCTGATGACAGTTTCTATTTCAAAGTTGCAGTCAACTTGTGTCACAGTGCTGTCCCAGTAACTACTGATGTGATTAGTGAGGGCCTAAGCAGCATTCTGTTCTGCACAACTCCACAGCACATAGGATCCCATGGTTATCTTCAGTCATGAAGTGGAGAATGTGGAGAGTGGAGAAGGGTTGCTTCTGCCAATATGCCTCCATCTTTCCCAAACCCTCACATTATGTGTTTCCATTTCAATGTACATTGAATGTAATGGCTGTATGCCCATCCTGGTTTATTCTCTTTGCCTAATCCAAGAACTTCTTTTAATTATATTTCAGGCTATTCAGAAAAAAATTGTTCTCTTTGTTTTCATTAACGTCATAGTTTGATAACTGTTACTGACCTCAGTTACTAATTTTTGTTTTCCTCTAGGGGCCACATTATCTTAGTTCCTGAATTTAGCCTTCCTTTGGAGTACTATCTGATCCCCTTCCTCATCATCGTGGGCATCTGTCTCATCTTGATAGTCATTTTCATGGTAGGTAAATTAACGTACAGTAACTTTGAAAACAGCTTAGATGGATCTCAGCACACAGCACTGTCAAGAGAGAAGCCCTGCCTGAACAGTAGACATTATATGAGCCCATTTGTATGAAGTTATGAAAGGCTAAAAAAAAGAATGAGTGGGGAAAAATCAGTGAGGTGATTTTCTGGCAGAATGAGAAGAACGTGAGGGGATTTCTGGGATTAAAGTCATGTTCTGTGTCTTTTTTTTGTGTCTGTGCTAGTATTGGCACTTGGAAGCAGGGCCTTCCACTCTGAGTTTGCTTGCTCACTCAGGATTGGTGCTTTGCCACTTGGGCCATGCTTACAGTGGGTGGTTAATTGAAGATAGTCTCAGACTTTTCTGTCCAGACTAGCTTTCAGCTGTGATCCTCCAGGTCCCAGCCTCCTGAATAGCTGGGATTACAGGTATGAACCACTGGTGCCCAGCTCACATTCTGTATTTATTAAGAGGTTTGGGTTGTATAAGTGTATATACACCTAACATATATAATTGGATTGTCTGGACCCACCAAATTGTGTACTTAGGCTTTGTGTTTTCCATTGTATTTACATTATACCTCAAAAAGAAAACAAAAGAACTGTAAGATGGCTTAAGTAATAATATACATGCTGTAATATTTTGGGGAAAGTATACATATGCGTACTACTTATTTTGAAATGAAATGTAAAAATTAAGAGCAGAAATGTAAGATGTATTGAGTAAATACAGAAATGGATAGTTTACAGTAACAAGTTTAGTAAAATGGTTCTTAGCCTTATGAAATCAAAAGTTCTTGTCTATTGTATGTGTTCTAAGATTTTAAACAATATACTGAGGTTATCTGTTCCCAGACCTTTCTGTTGTCCTGATGCTCAGTTGTTCCCAGGTGTGGAACAGAACACAGGGAAGGCCTCCTTAGTTCTTTGGCTTGTTTTTCATGTTCAGAATCGTAGTGGTGAAAGGCAGGCTGAGGGCCCGGCCTCTTCACTCCCACCCACCAGGATTAGTCCCAAGTCTTAGGAAATATTTTAGGAAGGTGGGAAATTGACAAAATACTTGGTCTTCAGTATCCTTTTTTTTCTACTGATTTCTGATTCAGTTGCATTGTGATCAGAAGATGCCACTTTTGCTATATATAGACTCTTTGGTTACTTTCAAACACCTCTGAACCATCATTTTGTATCACATTTTGTAAATATTACCCACGTACATGAAAAGATTTATAGAATGCATTTGTTTTGGTCTAATCTTTTTTTTAGTATTTTAACATTTTTATTAAGATATAGTTCAGATAGTATAAAGTTGACCCATTTAAGCACACACTACAGTAATTTTTAGTATACTCACAGAATTGTATGGTCTTCACCATATAGTTTTTTTATATTCTTATTTTCTTTTTGGTAGTACTGTTGTTGGAGCTCAGAGTCTCATGCTTAATATTAGGCAAGTATGTATTCTCATTTTCTAAATGAGATTCTCATTCTGTAAAGCAATAGAACAGTATTGTGAGCCACATTTTATTATTACATTGTCGTGTAGCAAATTTAAAAAAGGAGGGAAATAGGTGAGGTGGGTGCTGGTGGCTCACATCTGTAATCCTAGCTACTGAGGATCAAGGTTCGAAGCCAGTCCAGGCAGAAAAGCCCATGAAACTCCTACTTACAGTTAACCAGCAAAAAAACTGGACGTGAAAGTGGTGGAGTACTGACTAGCCTTGAGCTAAAAGGTTTGAGAGTGAGGCCCTGAGCTCAAGCCCCAGCACTAGCACAGAAGACTAATCTGAATACTGTTACTATTTAACCTAGCATGTGTAAAATGTATCTCAACATTTAAAACTAGTATGTTTTTATATGCGAGTTGTATGAAGGTCTTGCCATCCTGTGTGCATTGTATGTACGTGCACATCAGTTTGGACTAGGCAGGTTTATGTGCGAGCGGTATGAAGGCCTTGCCATCCTGTGTGCATTGTATGTACGTGCACATCTGTTTGGACTAGCCAGGTTTATGTGCGAGCGGTATGAAGGCCTTGCCATCCTGTGTGCATTGTATGTACGTGCACATCAGTTTGGACTAGGCAGGTTTATGTGCGAGCGGTATGAAGGCCTTGCCATCCTGTGTGCATTGTATGTACGTGCACATCTGTTTGGACTAGCCAGGTTTATGTGCGAGCGGTATGAAGGCCTTGCCATCCTGTGTGCATTGTATGTACGTGCACATCTGTTTGGACTAGCCAGGTTTATGTGCAAGCGGTATGAAGGCCTTGCCATCCTGTGTGCATTGTATGTACGTGCACATCTGTTTGGACTAGCCAGGTTTATGTGCGAGCGGTATGAAGGCCTTGCCATCCTGTGTGCATTGTATGTACGTGCATATCTGTTTGGACTAGGCAGGTTTATGTGCGAGCGGTATGAAGGCCTTGCCATCCTGTGTGCATTGTATGTACGTGCACATCTGTTTGGACTAGCCAGGTTTCAGGTGTTAGTCACATGTCCCTGGCAGGTTTCATCTGGTGGATTTTTTGTTGTTGTTGTTGCCTCTTTCAGATATACGTTGCTCAGTCTATGAATTTTCATTCCTCTGTTTTGCTATTTTCTAGGTAAAGTGTCATTTTTGTCTTTGCCATGACTGTCTCCTAGTGACCTTTGCCTTAAATTCTATTTTATCTGACATGCCAGCTTCTTTTGCTTACTGTATTCTTGGTGTGTCTTTGTCCTTTTACTTTGTCTTGCTTCTTTTGCCTTCATGTGTCATTCAGGCATTTTTTTCCCAGACTTTTTTTTTTTTTTTTTGCGGGTCGTGGGGCTTGAATTCTGGGTCTGGGCGCTGTCCCTGCCCTCTTCAGCTCAAGGCGAGTGCTCCACCCCTTGAGCCACAGTACCACTTCCAGTTTTCTAGTGGATTATTGGAGATAAGAGTCTCACAGACTTTCCTGCCCGGGCTAGCTTTGAACAGCGATTCTCAGATCTCAGCCACTTGAGTAGCTAGGATTACAGGTGTAAGCCATCAGCGCCCAGCTTCCAGACATGTTTTGACAACTTAGCCATGCTGACCTTGAACTTGCAAGTGCCTTCTCTATCTCCCAAGTGCTAGGCTTACAGAGCTGCACTACTGTTTTCTAAATGTGGCATTCACTTTTGTCTTGTCTCTAAATAGCATATAGTTAGAATTTTTTTCATTATACACTGTGATACAATTATTTTTTTAAAAATCTGGTGAAGTCAATCTACATTTATTGTGTGCCTCTGTATTTTAATGTTTGCATCTGATTGTTTTATCGCTATAAATTTAGATTGGTTAACTTTTCCTTTTTTCCTTTATGTAAGTGGAACTGTGCACTCTTAACGAGACTGTGTTCTAAACACGGCATGAATTCACCTGTCACTGACTACATTATTCCTTTCACTGCTGAATTGTATTTGATTGTATACGAGTTTGTACATTTGCCTATTGATGCACATTAGGTTGTTTTTAGTTTTTTAGCATTAGTAAATAAAGCAGGATTGGTTATGTATGGTGTGTGGCCATATACTTTTGTTTTTTGTTGGGATAAAATGGTAAGTGGACATGATAAATGCACATTGACAGATGGCGAGCGGTTTTTGCTTTCGTGCCAGTACTGGGGCTTACACTCAGGACTTGGTGCCCTCACTTAGCCTTTTCACTCAGAACGGGTGCGCTCTCTCTTACCTCCACTTGTGGCTCTATGCTAGTTAATTGGAGGTAAGTGTTTCATGAACTTTCCTGTCAAGCTACGATCCTGAGATCTCAGTCTTTTGAGTGTCTGGGATTACATGTGTGAGCTACAGAGCCCAGTTTGGGTGGTGTTTTGGATTCTTGGTTCTGGTTCTGTGGACTTCCTTTTCCTTCTTGGAGACCTAGGAAATTACAGTGTAAAGTGCTTTGTTTATTTTACTTGGTAATTTTGAAAGTTGGGTATTCTATATTATCTCTGTCCAGTTATGCTGCTAGAATTAAAGTACAATAACTAATCAGTGTATGATTGATAACTATCTTTTAATTTTAATCTAGACACTTAAAAGATTTGCTATTTTAATGGCCATTTTCTTTTTGTATGTTTAATATCTGACTTTTTTTCTTCCTTTTTATTTTTAGATCACAAAATTTGTCCAGGACAGACATAGAGCTAGAAGAAACAGGCTTCGTAAAGACCAACTCAAGAAACTCCCTGTACATAAATTCAAGAAAGGTGGGTGGTTAGGTTTAGTTCAGTTGCATGTACGTGATGACTGATACACTGCTGTATATGGCTAACAGTGTTTATGGGGTGCTCTTTTGCTCTGGCAGAGTGTATGTGTGTATGTACATATATTTTTAAAAATTTTTGCTAGTCCTGGGGCTTGAATAACCTGAGTGCTGTCCTTGTTCCTGAGCTTCTTTGGCTCAAGGCTAGTGTTCTACCACTTGTGTCACAGTGATACTTCCAGCTTTTTGAAACTAGTTCATTGGAGATGTCTGATTTCTTCATCGGGCTGGCTTTGAGCCACGATCCTCAGATCTCAGTCTCCTAAATAGCTAAAATTATAGACATACACCACTTGGTGCCCAGCGGGCAGAAATTTAAGAAAATAATGAATGACTGAAATGCTTTTTATTATCACCATGTGTAGCGGTTCTGAACAATGTCTTAAATAAAATACTTCTTTGGGTCAGGCCTACTTCTAGACTTCCTCTTGTTCTCCTGCCCCATCAAGCCTGTGTAGCGTGGTGCTAAGCTAAACACAGCAGCTGTTGAATTCTTACCTCTTACATTAATTCTCAGAGTTCTGTGAAGTGGGTGCTGTTATTATCCCTCTTACCCTGTCTCCTCTAGTTAGAGATGAGGAAATAAAAGGTCAGAGAGGCACAGACCTTTAACCAGTGCTATAGAGTCAGTGTTGACAGAGCTTACTTAACTGCCTTTGGTCCCTCACATGTCTGTCCAGTGGAAGACTCTGAAGTGAAAGCAGTCACAAAGGCAACTTAAGTCATTAGTCAATTTTTTGGAAAAGCAGCTGTGTTTAAGAAAGACTTCCAGACTGCTGCTTCCTTTAAAAATGGACAATTTGAGTTTCAAGAAGCTATGAATTACACCTTTGTGATGATAAAGGTGGTACAGTCAGAAGTAAGATAATTTAAATGGCAGTGATGTTAGGAATAAATACCAAGACTGGCTCTGTGTGGCCAGCAATTTGCTTTATCTCATTTTCCTCACCACCCAAAGCTGGGAAAACACTTGTATGAATGAAAATGGATGTCAGATTACACATTTGACAAAACACCACAGAAATGCAGAAGTGGTTTCAAATCTGTATTTATTCATTGATATATTAAAAATATTTGGTTGGTCTGAATGCTTGCTTAGAATGCCTGGGACCTGTCCTCAGCATGGAAAAACTAATCAATGTCTTAGAGAAAGAAATTTGTTCTTTGCATAAAATATTTCAAAAGTAGCACTTGAATAATTATGTAAAACTCTAATATGAATCTTATCAAAACCATTGATAGGATGAACAAACTTAATATCCACTTTTCATTTAGCTAAAAGGCCAATCACTTAAAATGTCAGATCTTTTGCGTCTGACAGAAACCAACAAAGGTATCATTAAAGATCAGATAATTAAAAAAAATTCAAAATAACCAACTAAGGAAAATAAGGTTGCAGATGATGAAAAGCTAAAAAGCTTTTCTACTGGTTGGGTGCAGTGGCTAATGCCTGCAATCCCAGCTACACAGAAAGCAAATAGGTATGAAGCTAGTCCTGGGTAAAAACATATGCCCTTATCCAGAAAGAACGAAAGCAGTAAGGCCTGGAGGTGTGGCTCACTAGTACAAGGCCCTGCGTTCAAACTCCAGTACCAAAAAAAGCTGTATGTATTTTAATTTTTGCTCATGATTTTCCATTTCAGGAGATGAGTATGATGTCTGTGCCATTTGTCTGGATGAGTATGAGGATGGAGACAAGCTCAGGATCCTCCCCTGTTCCCATGGTAGGAGAGGTCACGTGGTGCCTTGAATTTGCATGTGGAATAATTGCATTTGGTTTGGTGCATCCAGGAAAGATGGACTAACATCACAGGCCAGGTTCTCTACTAGGAAGAATGGTGGTGTGCACATTCATGTCTGTACCTCACAGTGTGATGTAAAACACAGGTGAAATACAATGTCCTCAGCCATAGAGCCCTTACTCAAGTTGTCTCTCTTGCTTTAACAGCTTACCACTGCAAGTGTGTAGACCCTTGGTTAACAAAAACCAAAAAAACATGTCCTGTTTGCAAGCAGAAAGTTGTTCCTTCTCAAGGCGATTCAGACTCTGACACCGACAGCAGCCGAGAAGAGAACGAAGTGTCGGAGCACACCCCTCTGCTCAGGCCATTCGCCTCTGCCAGCACCCCGTCCTTCGGAGCACTGTCGGAAGCACACTCACAGCAGAACGTGACCGAGTCCTCGGAATACGAGGACACGGACAGCAGTGACGCTGAGAACGAAGGTAGCGACCACAGTGTTGTGGTCCAGCTGCAGCCTGGTGAACATGATTACAACATAGCAAACACCGTGTGACTGAGGTGGTGGTTGGTTTACTGTCTTCAGAATGTTCATTTAGGTATATAACTTGGTTTTCTGCCCCCTTTAGATTTCTGTAGAAATAACTTATTTGCTATTCTAGCTTCATCAGATGATTGACACAGGCTTTGACCCCATACTTCATTTTACTAACAAGTGACAGACTAGTGCTGTAACTCAGGCATCAAATTAGTGCTTTGGGGGGTCAGATACAGCCAGACAATTTTGTTAAATCCTGAGTACAGCTTGTGATGAAGGCCCAGATGACTGCAGTATGCATAGTGTGTGTTACACAGGAAGTCAGTGCCATGGCCATGTGGCGTGACCTGGGCCAGCGCACCTCCATAAAGTCACCCGGCCTGCGGAGCTGGATGCTTGCTCTGCCATTTGCCCAGACTGCCATCATTACTAAGAGGCAGCAAGGTAACTGTGCACTTCTCCTCCTCTCATCCCCACAGAGAAACACCAAACTGTCTTTCCTTCCTGTTCTCAAGTTGTCTTATCCACATAGGAAAGACCTGCAGTTAGTGTGGATTTCAAAGTTACCTTTTTTTCTTTTGGTTTTTAGTACTGCAGTGTTGTGTGTGAACTTGACTCCGCTGTTCAAAGCACTGTCTGGCCGTTAGGCACAGCTTCCAGTGTCCTCAAGGGTTGTCTGCTGTGGCCAGAGCAAGGTCAAGACACTGCATGTGAACACCACACTTCAGCAGCTGATAACACTTGGTCATATACCTCTTGATAAAGAGCATCTCGTGCTAGCTAGCCCTGCTAATAAACTACGTATGGAGGAAATTACCCAAATATTGGATTTGGAAGTAAGTGCTGCTTATGTTTAACAACTAATGTATTGAAACAATGTATTATGAAAAAGCTAAATCATACATTAGTGTAACTATGTAAAAAATACTTATGTATAATCAAAATGCCAAGGATTTTTATATGGCCTTGAGTGAGGGGCGCTGGATGTTAATAAATATGTTTTCCACTCTAAGGACCAGTGAGTGTCTACTGTACTGTCACGTTAGCCTTACTTACATGTAGAGTGCTCTCGAAGGACCACGGCCTACATCAAACAGATCACTTTAGAAGTTTATGGCATTTGGACTACAACCAAAACCATCCCCAAATAAGTTATATCCTGATACCGTGCTGTAATGATAGTGTCTTTTCACAATAGCTGTAAGACATGGAAAACTGAATCAAGTCAGGGAAGAGAGCAAATATACTAGATATGACCCTTTTGTGGCTTAAAAAAAAGTATTAGAAGTGTGCATATGTATGTATAATCTGAAGCCAGACACTAGTGGGCTTATACCTGTAATCCCAGCAACTCAGGAAGTTGAGATCTGAGGATAGCAGTTTGAAACTAGCCAGGGCAGGAAAGTCAGTGAGACTCCAATTAACCACCAAAAGTTCAGACCCTGAGTTCTAGCCCCAGGACTAGCACATGCACACAAATATGTGCTCTAAAAAGGTTGAATGTAACACACATTGTTGCTACTACCTCACCCCTTGCTTCTTTAAGAGGAACATGGGCCTGAGAAACAGTTGCCACGGCGATTACGCATAAGTTGAAATGGCTTGGTTATATGGCCTTAACCTTTCTGATCATTACCTTAACTTCATCTAACCTAAAGTCAGGTTTCAAAGCACTTACCAGTGTGTGGCAAATAATTTCATGATAAATACTAGCTTTAAGAACCTTTTAAAGTCATGCTTAAAATGGAGTATTTTCAATAAAAACTGGAAAAGTCACTGTAGTGTATTATTATATATATTGTATGTTTTACTTCTTCAGTTCTTAATCCACAGTCCTTTCCATTTGAATTAGTTGTTTTTCCGGGTCAAAGATTTTTTTCAAGTTCCAAATCTGTACTTTAGTTGTAAAACAACAACTTATGAGGTACTTTTTAATAGCACTTGCTAAGACTTGTCCTTTTTCTTATTATTTACTTAAAGTTACGTATCATTTCATTGAATAAGCTTATTGAATGGGACAATAAATAATAATGAAAATAAACTTACTAAAAAACAAATTTTACAGTTCAGGAGATTATGAAACATTTAAAACACTGGAAATCAAAATGTAGTCACTCAGAAACTTAGCCTAGGGATAAACTTACCTGGACGTTCTGCCTTCAGACATGTGTACATAAAATATGTTTCTGTCTTTCTTTAATATCTATTTTGCTCAAAGAACAAAATCATCTATCCACCTCCTGTCTGACGTTGAGCCCCGATCTGTGTTCTGAGTCTGGTTATCCTATGTGCTCTGTATGGAGATCTTGGTGTACAAGTATGTATATCCATTTCTTTATGCCAACTTCACAGAATTAAGTACAAAGTATACATGTATGTATTTTTGTGTTTTTCTGTTGACACTGTGGGCAGGTGGCCAGTGACCAGCTTTTCCTATTCTAGCGTCAGCCATCCTTCTTACACCCTTCTATACCCTTGCCGCGCACATGCCTGCTACTCTCTCAGGGGTTCCATTAAGGATTTCACCATGGTGATCATTAACTACCACCTAATTGTAAAAGTTTTTCATTTGCCCAAAATTGTAACCAAAAAAATGATGTATTTTAAAAGAAATGTACTTTTTCCTCAAGAAAAATAATGAGGGGGAAAAAAAAAAAGACACTGCACTGTGGGAAATAAAAGGCTGAATCGATTGATTTCAGTTTCCAGGCTATGTCTGCCCTAAATCTATGTATTCTCATAGCCTGCATGTACAAGTTCGGAATGAATGCTCAGAGCTGCTCAGAAAACGGTTCATGTACAGTGCATTTTAAGCAAGGAAAGCAACCCCAAGCCCACTGTTGCTCAAAGGCAGCAGACAGGCCACTGGAGGATGAGCAAGGGCCCTGGTGATCATTTCTTTTTTTTTTTTTTGGGTCCAGTCGTGGGGCCTGAACTCTGGGCCTGGGCGCTGTCCCTCAGCTCTTCAGCTCAAGGCTAGCGCTCTACCACTTGAACCACAGCGCCACTTCCGGCTTTTTTTTCTTTTTGCTTATGTGGTGCTGAGGAATCGAACCCAGGGCCTCTGGCATGCAAGGCAAGCGCTTTACCACTGAGCCACCTTCCCAGCCCCCTGGTGATCATTTCTGAGACGGGCTTTCCTGGCTTACTGACAGAACCTTGTTGCCACGGTGGGGCTTTAGTCTGTACAGCTCCACTTTCACTCAGACCCACTGACTTGAGCCTCCTGTTCTAAATGTATGCTTGATATCTCGTGGTAATAATGACCAAACAGGACAAAATCTACACAACTGACTACACTTTCATACAGACCAGGAAACTTAAGAAACTCCAGAATTAAACTATCTGATCATGGTCAATAGGTTACTCCAAAAGCCACAAAGCGCAAGATCTTGCACCTCAATGCTCTTAGATTTGAAGTCAGTCTCTGGACTGGCTTCTGCTCAGATGTAGAAGAACCCTGACAGTTCAACCCAGGAGAACCCGTAATGTCTCCTGGGGCCTCTCAAAATCAACTAGATTAACAGAGGAAAATACTTTCTTTCTAGTAGGTAGGTCCATTTTTTTATAAACCTGAAAACAAGCCCCAAATGACTAAAAGCCACATTTAATAGACCAAAGCCTACTAAAAGTAAATTTGTAGGTACTCAAATTTTATGCTGGCCCTCCTAGGACTTGGCTTGTTTTCTATATTCCCACTGTGTCAAAAGTCAACTATAGCCAAGCATGGCTGCCCACACTTGAGATCCATATACACGCACGCACACACATGCACACACACACACACACTCAGTAAGTCAACAATTTGCATAAACAACATGAGCCTAGAATATTTGGTTGGAATAAATTTATTTCATCTGTCTGTAAACAAGGTGTTTAATAGTTATGGCATTTTTTTAAATGCATATTAAATCAGATGAGTTAGACTGTATCCCAGATGTAACAAAGTGCAGGGAAAGAAATGGACAAACCAGCAACAAGATCTGTTTTTAAATCTGTACATTATCCACAAGGCCCAAACAATAGAAGCAGTTACTAGAATATCCCTAAGGTAGTGCCATTCGAAAGAAACCCTTTAATAGGTCAGTTAAAATCCATCTCACAATAGCGACAGTTCATTTGAACAATAGTATGGCACACAGTACATTATGAAAAAAAATCATCACAAGACAGCCAATCCACAATAATGCAACTTCATATAAAAACCAAAGCGGCAAATAAAGATTGGTCCTATGAGGAACGAACCGGACGCACTCCAGATGGTTATGTGGGGTACCTAATTCCATAATGGCAACCTTGCTCAATGTCACTAAAGAGTGGAGCTGGTGTGCAAAGCAGAAGACAGGAACACAAATCTGAGCTATTGCAAAGATGGAGTTCAAAATGATGGGGATTCAGTCGCTATGGTTACTATAAGGTCATGGGAGGAAGTGCCTTTTGCTCTTGTTTTGCAGTTGTGCTCTTCCTGTGTCACCTCCTGTGACACTACAGAGTGACTGTCTCAAGTGCACCCACAACACTAAAAGCAAATACTGCAGCTCTCACTCATCAACAAAAGGGGCATTAATTGGCTAAATAAACCAGGCACTGCACAGAAGAGGATGGAAGCAAACCAAATACCTTATTGCGAAGGGAGGGGCTGAGAGAAGAGGAAGGAGTGACGGAAAGATGCATGCACGTTTTCCTCCCAACCATGCCTTACAAAAGGAAGACTAAATGAGCCAAGTAAATGCTCAAAGTGCGGACAAGACGTCGATCAAATTAGAGATTGTACAACCGGCACCTTGCTTAATATTAACTTATTTTAGTAATCAATATCCCATTAATTGCTAAGACAAAGTGATGCCCAACTTGGCATGCCCCCTCCCCCCAATTTCAAGGTATCATGCAAATCATTATTGTGCTGCAATTATGTTGCCAGATAAGGGTTGGTTACAAACAGTGGTTAACATACAAATGATCCATTGGGCAAACAGGAATCATGACCTTAGAAAACAGGGAAAGAAAAACTAGCCACCAAGCCTAGTGTGGTAGCAGTGTGACCATAGCTGGGGTGGTGATGGCTTCTGCTAGGTGGACGGGGAGAGGCCGCTCACACACGAGGCCGCCTCGGGAATAAAGCAGTTCACACGCTTTCTTGTTATGTGTGCCTCCCGCGGACACCTTCCTTTCCCATGACTATAACCAATGCTGGAGCACACAAGGAAACAAAACAGAAGTGAACAGAATTACCAAGGGGGGGCGGGCGTGGGGGGGAGGGGGGGAGCATAAAGAAAGACGCCTTTCCCCACCGACAGAGGGATACAAAGGAGACACAGGTTTATACCCCATCACCCTGCATTGCTAATAACATTTCCAGAATAAGACTTAAGCTCACAGCTAGGAAAGTGTAAGAGCAATTTCCCCTAATACTTCACAGTCTGCCTAGCAGCTAGAACCCAGAGTCTCTCAAGTACTTTGCCATTGAGTATGCCTTCTTATTCAATCCGCCTCCGTGGACCCCTTCTTTTCCCATTACAAAGACCAAGACTGAAAGAGAAAGGAGAAAGGGGTTTCAAAAAGAGTGTTAATCCAGAAAGTTCACATAGCAGATAGATCCTGATTAGTGAGTTAACAAGTTAGTTTCCCATGAACTATCAAGCACTGAAGTCAGAATGGAGAGCTCTGAAACCTACAAACAGCCTGAAACGGCAGAGCGGGGTCATCTCGCATTCAGTAGAGCACACCACTGTCCACGCTAGCTGGAGAAAAAGGTGACCACATCTACCATTTTAAGGCGAAAAGCTCTAGCTGATGTGACAAGTTCATATTTGCCCCCCAAAGTACAAGCTTTAAAGAATTTGTTTACAAATTCTCAGATTTAACAGACTTAGTACAAACTCCACTAAATCATACCAGTGAGAATGTTAAGTGTGAATAAACAAGTAAACACTATTTCCAGAGAAATGTGACAATTTTAAACAGCTAGGAAAACCTAAAGTATTTAAGTCTCATCCATACACATAATCCTCACTTGTTTTTGAGTCTAAAGTCCTGAAACAGCTTTAATGCAGGTCTAGCTCTAGGTACGGGTGCTCTGTCCAATTCCACATTCACTGCCACTAGATGTCAGCAGCACCTGCCGTCTGAAAATCTGTGGCTGAGGCTTCCCTTTTTTCTAGAATAGGTTTTTGAGAGCAGCTCATGCTTACAGTTGTCTTCTATTTCAAATCGCATCGATCCCCCATAGATAACTGGGGCTCATAGCTAGCAGGGGTGGCCTGAGGGTGGCCACAGGGAGGTGGGAAGGGCTTAAGCTCCTGCTCCAGCTCTAAGGCCTTTGCTCATGGGTAGGCCTGCTCCGGCTCCTCAGAAACAGGCTGCAGGACCTTCTTCTAAATGACGCACACAGGTTGATATACAAATGACATGTCAGGAAAAAAAACCTCAATCTCAGATTTCTCTTGAAAAAGTGGGAATACTTGATGTTGGCCACAGAATATTTGGACCAAGCATGCACTGACTTCAAACTGGAATCTCTGACATGCTGCACCTCTGATCAACTTTCTTTACAACCCGTACCTGATCAACTCTCTATAACCCGCACCTGATCAACTCTACAACCTGCCCTGATCAACTCTACAACCTGCCCTGATCAACTCTACAACCTGTACCTGATCAACTCTACAACCCGTACCTGATCAACTCTATACAACCTGCACCTGATCAACTCTACAACCCGTACCTGATCAACTCTACAACCTGCCCTGATCAACTCTACAACCTGCACCTGATCAACTCTACAACCTGCCCTGATCAACTCTACAACCTGTACCTGATCAACTCTACAACCTGTACCTGATCAACTCTACAACCTGCCCTGATCAACTCTACAACCTGCACCTGATCAACTTACAACCTGCCCTGATCAACTCTACAACCTGCCCTGATCAACTCTACAACCTGTACCTGATCAACTCTACAACCTACACCTGATCAACTCTACAACCTGCCCTGATCAACTCTCTACAACCTGCCCCTGATCAACTCTCTCTACAACATGCCCTGATCAACTCTACAACCTGCCCTGATCAACTCTACAACCTGCCCTGATCAACTCTACAACCTACACCTGATCAACTCTACAACCTGCCCTGATCAACTCTACAACCTGCCCTGATCAACTCTACAACCCACACCTGATCAACTCTACAACCTACACCTGATCAACTCTACAACCTGCCCTGATCAACTCTACAACCTGCCCTGATCAACTCTCTACAATCTGCCCCTGATCAACTCTCTCTACAACATGCCCTGATCAACTCTACAACCTGCCCTGATCAACTCTACAACCTGCCCTGATCAACTCTACAACCTGCCCTGATCAACTCTACAACCCGCACCTGATCAACTCTACAACCCGCACCTGATCAACTCTACAACCCGCACCTGATCAACTCTACAACCTGCCCTGATCAACTCTACAACCTGCCCTGATCAACTCTACAACCTGCACCTGATCAACTCTACAACCTACACCTGATCAACTCTACAACCTACACCTGATCAACTCTACAACCTGCCCTGATCAACTCTCTACAACCTGCCCCTGATCAACTCTCTCTACAACCTGCCCTGATCAACTCTACAACCTGCCCCTGATCAACTCTACAACCTGCCCCTATCAGCTCTACAACCTGCCCCTGATCAACTCTACAACCTGCCCTGATCAACTCTACAACCTGCACCTGATCAACTCTACAACCTGCCCTGATCAACTCTACAACCCGCACCTGATCAACTCTACATCTGCCCCTGATCAACTCTACAACCTGCCCTGATCAACTCTACAACCTGCCCCGATCAACTCTACAACCTGCCCCTGATCAACTCTACAACCTGCCCCTGATCAACTCTACAACCTGCCCCTGATCAACTCTACAACCTGCCCCTATCAACTCTACAACCTGCACCTGATCAACTCTACAACCTGCCCTGATCAACTCTACAACCTGCACCTGATCAACTCTACAACCTGCCCCTGATCAACTCTACAACCTGCACCTGATCAACTCTACAACCTGCCCTGATCAGCTCTACAACCTGCCCCTGATCAACTCTACAACCTGCCCTGATCAACTCTACAACCTGCACCTGATCAACTCTACAACCCGTACCTGATCAGCTCTCTACAACCTGTCCTGATCAACTCTACAACCTGCCCTGATCAACTCTACAACCTGCCCCTGATCAACTCTACAACCTGTACCTGATCAGCTCTCTACAACCTGCCCTGATCAACTTTACAACCTGCCCCTGATCAGCTCTCTACAACCTGCCCTGATCAACTCTCTACAACCTGCCCTGATCAACTCTACAACCTGCCCCTGATCAACTCTACAACCTGCCCTGATCAACTCTACAACCTGCCCTGATCAACTCTACAACCCGTACCTGATCAGCTCTCTACAACCCGTACCTGATCAGCTCTCTACAACCTGCCCTGATCAACTCTACAACCGGCCCTGATCAGCTCTACAACCTGCCCTGATCAACTCTACAACCTGCACCTGATCAACTCTACAACCTGTACCTGATCAACTCTACAACCTGCCCTGATCAGCTCTACAACCTGCCCTGATCAACTCTACAACCTGCACCTGATCAACTCTACAACCTGCCCTGATCAACTCTACAACCTGCACCTGATCAACTCTACAACCTGCCCCTGATCAACTTACAACCTGCACCTGATCAACTCTACAACCTGCCCTGATCAACTCTACAACCTGCCCCTGATCAACTCTACAACCTGCACCTGATCAACTCTACAACCTGTACCTGATCAACTCTACAACCTGCCCTGATCAGCTCTACAACCTGCCCTGATCAACTCTACAACCTGCACCTGATCAACTCTACAACCTGCCCTGATCAACTCTACAACCTGCCCTGATCAACTCTACAACCTGCACCTGATCAACTCTACAACCTGCCCTGATCAGCTCTACAACCTGCCCTGATCAACTCTACAACCTGCACCTGATCAGCTCTCTACAACCTGCCCTGATCAACTCTACAACCTGCCCTGATCAGCTCTACAACCTGCCCTGATCAACTCTACAACCTGCACCTGATCAACTCTACAACCTGCCCTGATCAACTCTACAACCTGCCCTGATCAACTCTACAACCTGCACCTGATCAACTCTACAACCTGCACCTGATCAACTCTACAACCTGCCCTGATCAACTCTACAACCTGCCCTGATCAACTCTACAACCTGCCCTGATCAACTCTACAACCTGCACCTGATCAACTCTACAACCTGCCCTGATCAACTCTACAACCTGCCCTGATCAACTCTACAACCTGCCCCTGATCAACTCTACAACCTGCCCTGATCAACTCTACAACCTGCCCTGATCAACTCTACAACCTGCCCCGATCAACTCTCTACAACCTGCCCTGATCAACTCTCTACAATCTGCCCCTGATCAACTCTACAACCTGCCCTGATCAACTCTCTCTACAACCTGCCCTGATCAACTCACAACCTGCCCTGATCAGCTGGCTACAATCCTGATCAGCTCTCCAACCCGAGTCTGATCAGCTCTCTACAACCTTGATCAGCTCTCCAACCCGAGTCTGATCAGCTCTCTACAACCTTGATCAGCTCTCCAACCCGCACCTGATCAGCTCCCTCTCCAGCCCGCGTCGGACGCCCCCTCTCCCAGCATGCTCCTGGCGGAGGGGGGGCGGTCAGGGACCTTCATTGGAGGGGAGGGGAGGCGCAGGGTCTAAACCCGGGAGGGCCAGGGGCTGAGATGCGGCCCGGGAGGACCGTCACCCCGCGGCTGCGGGACACGGCTTCACCCCACCTGACGCGGGGGTCTCGGTGGCGCCGGGGAGGGGGAGGAGGAGGAAGAGGAGGCCGGGGAGGAGGGGGAGGAGGAGGAAGAGGAGGCCGGGGAGGAGGGGGAGGAGGAGGAAGAGGAGGCCGGGGAGGAGGAGGCCGGGGAGGAGGAGGAAGAGGAGGCGGGAGGGGGGAGGAGGAGGAGGGGGGAGGGTTAGCCCTTCCTTGGCGGGGGTTGCGCGCGCCCACCCCGCCGCCCCGCGCTCACCTCGGCCCGCCCGGCCCACGGCCACGTTGTAGGTGGGCTCGCCGCCCTGGCTCTTGGTCCGGATGTCCATGGTGCAGTCGCCGTCCACGTACAGGCTGTCCCGGATCACCGAGCACTTCTTGGCGCCCAGGGTCAGGCCGTTGGTGAAGAACCCTTCCCGGTCCTTCCCGACGACCACGTCGATCTCCAGCGGCTGGCGGCGGCGGGGGGGGGGGGGGGGGGGTGCGGGGTCAGAGTCACGGAGCGGGTCCCCGCCCTCCCGCAGCCCGCAAGGATGGCGGCGGAGGAGGGGCGCCGGGCCGCGGGCGCCCCGCTCCCGAGGCAGCGTCGCCCCCACCGGAACTGCCGAGTCATAGCAGGCCCCGCGCTCCGGCGCCCGCAGCCGCCCGGCGCGGCCCGCACACAAAGGGACGCGGCGGGGCGGCGGGCTGGGTCCCGGGCGCCGCCGCGGGGGACGGCGCACCCGACTCCGGGGCCGCGCGCGGACGCGGGCCGGGTCTCGGGTTCGCACGGCTCGGGGCCCCGCGCAGATTCGCCGAACAATGAGCGGCGCCCGGGCCGGGAGAGCGCGGAGGCCGCGGGCGGTGCGGGCCGTGCCGGGCGCCGCGTCCCCGCCACGGCGCGTCCCCGCCACCCCGCCGGGGGCCCCGGCCCGCGGCCGCCCGCGCGCGGACCCTCGGAAGCGCCCGAGGCCGCCCCGCGGCATGGCGGGGTAACGGGGCGCGGGGGGCCCTCCACGGGGAGAGCCATGGCAGTTCGCCATCTTGTAGAATTAAAGCACGAAAAATCCCGCAAAGCCGGAGCCGGGACGCACGCGTCCACCCCGGGGCCGCGCACGGCGGCCTCGCCGAGTCACCGGGGCCGGGCCGGGACCCGCGCCGCCCGCGCGCCCGGCCGGGCCATGATGGGGACCCCGCGGGAGGATGCCCAGCCCGGCCTAGCCGCGGGGACCCCGGCCGGGCCATGATGGGGACCCCGGCCCTGCCCTGCCCACCCGGCCTGGCCATGATGGGGACCCCGGCCCTGCCCTGCCCACCCAGCCTGGCCATGATGGGGACCCCGGCCCTGCCCTGCCCACCCAGCCTGGCCATGATGGGGACCCCGGCCCTGCCCTGCCCACCCGCCCGGGCCATGATGGGGACCCCGCGGGAGGATGCCCAGCCCGGCCTAGCCGCGGGGACCCCGGCCCTGCCCTGCCCACCCGGCCTGGCCATGATGGGGACCCCCGGGGAGGGTGCCCAGCCCGGCCTAGCCGCGGGGACCCGGCCCGCGCCCCGGCTCACCGTGATGCTCTGGAAGACGCCCCCGGCCGTGGCCGCCCAGACGTATTTGGCGTCGCAGTAGCCGACGATGGCGGCCTCCTGGCAGCAGCCGTCGCACATGAGGTTGTCCACGTAGCTCTGCCAGCCGGCCATCTTCGCCCCTTCGCACTGCGGCGCGGACGGCGAGCGGCGGCGGCGGCGGCGGCGGCGGCGGCGGCGGCGGCGGCGGCAGCGGCGGCGGCGGCGGCGGCAGCGGCGGCGGCGGCGGGCGCGGCGCGGGGCGGGGCGGGGGCGGGAGGAGGCGGCTCTGCGCAGGCCCGGCCGCCCCCTCCGCGGGGCCGCGCGGGGCGGGCGCGGGGCGGAGCGCGGGGCGGACAGAGCGGCCGAGGGCGGCGCGGGGCTCTCCGCGGCGGCGGGGGCGGCGTGCGCGGGCGCGGCGGTGCGGGCGCGCTCCCTCCGCGGCGCCGGGGGTCCGGCCGGGCGGCGGGGCGGGGTGCGGGCGGTCGCCCGGGGTGCGCGCCGCGCCCGCTTCTCTGCGCGCTTCTTTGTGGCGGCGCCCGGCGCTCCTGACCCCGTCCTCCCGGAGCCCCCGGGGCCGAGCCGCCGCGGCCCCGCTGTGCGCGTCGCTCGCGGCCGCCGCCTGGGCGCACGCGCGCCCCCGAAGCCGGGCACAGAGGTGGCCAGGCCGCGCGCCCCCGACCGGGCACAGAGGTGGCCAGGCCGCGCGCCCCCGAAGCCGGGCACAGAGGTGACCAGGCCGCGCGCCCCCGAAGCCGGGCACAGAGGTGACCAGGCCGCGCGCCCCCAACCAGGCCGGGCACAGAGGTGGCCAGGCCGCGCGCCCCCGACATGGCACAGAGGTGACCAGGCCGCGCGCCCCCGACCAGGCCGGGCACAGAGGTGACCAGGCCGCGCGCCCCCGAAGCCGGGCACAGAGGTGGCCAGGCCGCGCGCCCCCGACCAGGCCGGGCACAGAGGTGGCCAGGCCGCGCGCCCCCGAAGCCGGGCACAGAGGTGACCAGGCCGCGCGCCCCCGACCAGGCCGGGCACAGAGGTGGCCAGGCCGCGCGCCCCCGAAGCCGGGCACAGAGGTGGCCAGGCCGCGCGCCCCCAACCAGGCCGGGCACAGAGGTGGCCAGGCCGCGCGCCCCCGACCAGGCCGGGCACAGAGGTGACCAGGCCGCGCGCCCCCGACCAGGCCGGGCACAGAGGTGGCCAGGCCGCGCGCCCCCGACCGGGCCGGGCTGTGCTGTGCGTCCTGTAAATGCGGCCTGTGAACGGCCCACGAGGCCCTCACTCCGGTGCGGGCGTGAGTCGCACCCGTTCGGCGGTCCCGTTGGCGTTCGTGACGCATAGGGTGTTCGAATCCCCATTGCTCGGACTTCACCGCCTGAGAAGTGAGTGCCTCACGCCATCACCCCAGCTGCTCGGGACGCTGAGCCTGAGGATCGGGGTTCGAAGCCAGCCCGGGCAGGAAAGCCCCATCGAAAACCAGCAGCAGAGCCGGGGCTCAAGTGGTGGAGCCGCTAGCTCTGAGCAGAAAGGGCACAGAGCTCGGACCCAAGTTCAGCCCGGGACCAGTGCAGAAAACAAACTTCATAGTGGCTACGGAGGATAGGACCCAGGAGAACTGGACAACTTACTTATACCCGGGATTTGTGCTCTTCCTTCATGCATCCTATAATCCAGTAAGTTGAAACGGTGCATAGCGACCCAGAGCGATCGTGAAGGATGTTGAACTTAAGTGTTCACTGTGACAGGCTCTGAAGATTTTATTTCTAGATTTAATTATCCGTCCCTTCAGTCTGTTCTTTTATCGTGTTGGTTGTGAACAGTGAGCACATCCACACAAAAAATACTGGGGAAATGTCATGGTCACCCTAGAGACAGAGCCTACAGGCTTCTGTCTGCCGCGGGTCCTGCTGTGCCCGGCCCCCTTTTCCCTGTCTCCAGGAAGAGGGTAAGGTCGGTTGGCTAGAATGTTTGAACCACATTAATGAGGCGAATACAGCTACCTGACTTCAGAAACACTTAGAATTCACAACCCAGTATGGCCACCGACCCCCTGGCCTGTGCAAATATTAGTCTTCCACTAGGAATGACCCAAACTAGATGTTTCACATCTAGACTGTTTCTCACGGACAGTTTCAAGAGAAATATTTTCACTCTTCAAATGCATCCAAACAAAACATTTGGTCCTGAAGCATTCTATGTTAAGTGAGTGAGCTGTGGCTTCTTATTACAGAAGCAACGGGAATCCAAGACCCACCTCCTCAGCTCTTACCTGCAGGCAGAGCTGTGCTGAACAGCCCAAAAGGACAAAATTCTGAACTCTGGTGACTCAGAAATGATTTTCTTTCTTTCTCAAGTTGTATTTATTATTATTATTAATTATTGCCAGTTCTGGAACTTGAACTCAGGGCCTGGGTGCTGTCCCTGGGCCTCTTGGTCCTCAAGGCTAGCCCTCTACCACTAGCCACAGAGCCACTTCCAGCTTTTTTCTTTTTGCTTATGTGGTGCTGAGGAATCGAACCCAGGGCCTCAGGCATGCAAGGCAAGCGCTCTACCACTGAGCCACCTTCCCAGCCCCTGAGTGTGTCCATTTTGCCCTGTCCATCCACGCATACAATGTGTAGACCTCCGCTGCCCTGTTCCCCTCCCTCACTCAGCAAGCCGCCTCTGGCCGCCTGCGCAGATGTGCGGGAAGTGCCGGCCAGTCCGTCCTTCCCTCTCTCCTGTTTCCCTCCCACATCGCAGACAAGCTCTCTTTCACGCTCCTGTCCATCTTCTCTTTATTTGGGGGTGGGGGGGTAAGTGTATGATAATTGGCCACAGGGGTTTCATTGTGACATGTCACAAACACACAGACAGTATTTTAATCACATTAACCGTTTTTAGGACAACACCTCGTGTATGAAAAGTGAGAAATTCCAGTGCCATTTTTGGGAGACCTGCTTGGAGACTCCTCTCAGGCTGATCAATGCTATAAAACCAGAAGTTGCTTTGACAGACTTAGTGCCGGGATGTCATGAAATCGTGGCCTGTAGCCAAGTCCAGCCAACACATTGCACTCTCAAAAGACATGAAATCACCCAGATCTCAACGCAGTTATTGTGCTGTTGTACACCAGGACCTTGCATTAATTACCCCCCCCCATGCCACCCCAAGGTCAGCTTCCCAAAGCTGAATGAAGTCAGCCCTGCTTGCTCACTAGCCTTGAGCAATCCTGACCTGACTCTGACAGCTTCTTATCTACTCCTGCTCGCCTCTCTCCTCTCCGCCTGCCTTCTTTTGAGCTGACCAAAGATGTTGAGTGTTCGCTTTCCATCCCTTGCTTTGAATCCTTTGCTGCGTTTTGTTGTATTTGGGGCCTTGCTTTGCCAAGGATGTAGCTCAGCAGCCTACCCGCACTCTTGTTCTGTTATTGTCATGTACTTTACATTTGTGTGGATCATAAATGTCACAGCACAATGTTTGCCTGGCTCTCAACTATTCAGAGAGTTCTAGCTCTCCTGTGGCGGCTTCTGTACGTATGTGCATTGGTTGTGTGTGTATGTGTGTCATGCACTTGGCTGCGATGCAAACATAATTCTTGTGAACACAAGAAAGTCCAAAAGTCACTGTTCTGGAAGGAACGCTGAAAGACCCAGGCCTCCACGCACCCTTCGCTCCCTCCCAGTGCCCCCTCACTCACGCCTCGGCCAGGGAGGAAGCTGGCTCAGCCTTTCCGAGAGAAGGGCTCCCGGCGTGCCGGGTGCGTGATGAGTTCGGAGGGAGAGCCGGACAGTGTGATGGCACAACAAAGCTTTTTCAGGGAAAGGAACTGCCTCCTTCCTAGCAGAGGCTGGAGCCTGGCCGTGTGCCACTGCTTGGGATAAAAGACCAGGCCCGGGGAAGCCAGCTGTGCCTCACTGAGCGGCGCGGCGGGGCGGGCGGGACTGGAGGCTTGGGAGGAGTTCAAGGGAGCAGGCCGGGCACGGAGCCAGGGGGAGTTCTGAGCGGCTGCTTGGATTTGGGCAGGGAAAGGTGCTGGCTGCAGGCCGTGCACTGTGTCTCACCGTGGGCCTGGTTCTTCCCCAAGTCCTTTCCAGTTCCCTTGGGACGTTGACCTCCGGGTGTGTGTGGCTCCAGAGAGACGGGTCTGGGCGGCTGGTGTCTCGGGTGCCTGGCCGGCCGCCTGAGCATGCTGACTGTCAGGGAAGGTCGCTGTGCGGGGTGCAGAGGGGCCAACCGGGGACTTGCCCGGACGCCAGGCAGGAGGTGGCCTCGTCCGTGCAGGCGCAGGTGGACAGGCAGCTGCAGCCGTCACCCTGGTTGCTCCTCCTCTCTCCATTGAAAAGGAAGAAGTCAGTAGCTCGTGGGAGTTTGAAATGGCTGGTCTGTTACCTACCTGTTCAATATCTTTCCACGGCCTTTCACCCCAGAAAGACCGTCCTGGGACTGTGTCGGCTTTGGACTCAGGGCCTCACAGTTGCTAGGCTGGTGCTTGAGCCACGTGAGCCGCTCCGCTAGCCCTGGTTTGGCTGGTTATTTTTGAGGCAGGGCCTTGCCTCCTGAGCTGTGACTTTTAGGCTAGTTGGACGCTCCCGAGCGGTCTGCTTTTCGGCTTCCTGCCCTTCCTTTGAATGAGTTTGGGACCTGGCACTGAGAGGCGGTCCAACCACTGCACGCCTGTGTCCTGGGAGGCCCAGGCGGCGCGGGGAAGGCCTGGTGCGCTTCACCCCGGAAGCAGCTGCTCCAGGACCCCAGCCTGCGCGGTGAGCGCTCACCCGCTCTGCTGACCGGGACCTCAGCAACTGCGGTGTGGTGTCCGGCAGACCCAAGGGACAGGATCAGGGCACAGTACAGTGTAGCCGCAGAGTTCTATTAAAATAGGGCATTTTCTGAATGGTTGGCTACTTATTAGGAGGTTCCATGGCTCAATTTGATTGTCTAGAATGTACTTCAACTAAAGGCAGGACAGGTTGCTTTTGATGAAAAAAGTCTACGACCGAATCCTCTGAAAATCCATTCGTGACGGCGGGCGGGGCTGCTGAGCCGGAACTGGAGTCCCTGCCTGTCCCTGCCCGGAGCTGGCATGGGCGTGGGGCTGCGGAGAGGATTTGAGGAGCCAAATTGTCATCCTCCGCCTCCTTTGTCTTGTTTCAATTAGCTGCACGTGCAGAAGTGTTTTCCTGTGTAATTGCCCCTGGGATGGAGTAA